TAATAGTTCAATCAGAATCCCAAAGATATGGAAGACATTGTAATCAAGCACAGCAGAACTCCACGAAGCTGGGGAGAGATCTGTAAGTACAGAGAATATAGCGTAGAGTGGGGTTAGTTGGGCATCATTCCTGCTGACTTGTTTTGGTCTCAAGAAAGTAAAAAGTATAAGGTGAAAAGTATAAGGTGCATTGCCACAAGTGGGTCTAGGAGCTTGAAGAGAATAACAGTGACAGGGAAGCTTGAAACAGGTCACCAGAATCAGTGAAAAATCAAGTGGTCTGCCTACCAACCTCTCCTGTATTAAGTGAGGAAAAAATATACCTGAAGCTGGAAGCTCTTCACCCTGTTTTCTGTCTTACTAGATGTAGGTCAGAAAGAGTATGGAAAGCAAAGTGAAGAAGAAAACACGTGGGACCAACATGTAAAAGAACTAAAGCAGAGAGATGAAAGAAGGATGAGTGACCGGCAAGAAGCTCTAGAAAGAGAACGAAGAGAGCTAGAAAAACTGGATCAGGAGAGGGTAATATGTGTGACTTAAGTCTCTGTACTAGGTTCTCCATTGGATGCCTTCAGAAGGTTCCTTGAGCTCAAAAAGATGCACTAATAGTGTCCCAAGGGCAGAGAAGTGGCAGGCAACTGTGGGAACATCCCTGGCCTCACTTTGTCTTCTAACAGAAGAAAGTGAAAGTACCTGGACATGCATTCTCACTTAATCCTTACAAAGAAGGCAGACTGGGCTTTGCTTTAACATTTCCCTGCTTCCAGGAACACATACTGCCTTCCTTCTTCCTGTACTGTAATTTTTTTTTTTTTCTTGCTTTCCATGCCCTGAATTATTCTGGCCACTTAACATGCTACATGAAAGTGCTCAGATTCCTTGTTGGTTTGGGTCTCAGTGCACAGGACATTTGAGGCAAGTTAATGACTTCCTTTCTTGAGATGACATGTTTGTCTCATTGGTAGTATCAATGGCTTCATTTTGAATACATGTGTGTGTATTTCTCTAGCACACAAAATGTAATTATATTAATATGTTTCTTAAACATTGAAAAGCTTTTTGTGTGTGTGTGCTGGTCCTGGGGCTTGAACTCAGATCCTGGGCATTGTCCCTCAGCTCTCAAGGCTAATGCTCTACTACTTGAGCCACAGCTCCATTTCCATCTTTTTGGTCGTTCATTGGAGATAAGAGTCTCAACGACTTTATTGCCCAGGCTGGCTTCAAACTATGATCCTCAGCTCTTAAGTGTCCTGCCTGAGTAGCTAGGATTAAAGGCATGAGCTACCAGTACTTGGCAAACTTTTAAAGCCTATTTGTATATTATCTATTTTATAGAGGATGATTGAAGAATCACTGAAGCTGGAAATGGAAAAAGAACTAAAAACAAGTGTTGAAGAAGTGAGCGACGAATCAGCTCAGGAAGAAAATCCTTTAGAGAAGTACATGAGAGTCATCCAGCAGCAACGAGAACAAGCATCTGCAAATAAGGTTCCTATTCTATTGACAGGGCATGTTCTATGGATAACAGAGGAGTGGAGGGCAGTGGTTTATTTTCTGTCTTCTTTGTTGAAGACAAAAAAGATTAGAAACATAGAAAATGTATACTTAAAATAGAATCTCAAATCTTTTAAATATTTCAACAAAATTTCATCATGTTGACTTGGGCAAAAAGATGAAGACATGTTGATTTGTGTGAGTTTATATAGGTTGAGATATCTTAGTCAAACTGGAAATGATCATCTGTCATTGGATAATGAATGCAGTAATTGTAAGATGCTTTTTCTAAGTCTGAATTATGAGTGTTGAAAAATGTATACTGTACTTTGAGGTGTTTTTCTAAAATTTCACAGTAAAGAGTCATGCTAAGATTCTTATTGCCTATATATTTAAAAGATAGTTCTTAGAGAAATCAGTGTTTCAAAAAATTAACTCGATTCCAAAATTCTTCTTCCATCTTCCTATTAGATATCTGGAGAATGCTCCCTAGTAGACACACTACCATCTACTGACAAGGATGAGAGGTATGGTTTCCCAAAACTGTTTTTTTTTTTTTTTTTTGGTCGGTCATGGGGCTTGAACTCTGGGCCTGGGCACTGTCCCTCAGCTCTTCAGCTCAAGGCTAGCACTCTACCACTTGAGCCACAGTGCCACTTCCAGCTTTTTCTGCTTATGTGGTGCTGAGGAATCAATGCCCAGTGCCTCATGCATGCAAGGCAAGCACTCTACCACTGAGCCACCTTCCCGGTCCCACCCCAACACTGTTCTTTAAGCAAACATTTGTTGCTCATATGGTTCTAACATTTGAGGTTGCCTTTAAGAAATTATTGAAGCAGCCAAAATGACTGCCTTCTAAATTGGGTGTGGTGATGCATGCCTGAGTGAGGATGATCATGAATTTGAGGCTAGCCTGGGCTGATGCAAAGGAAAAAACACCTGACTTAAGAAAAGTCCATTGTGATCTTGTGAAACTGATCCTGATACTAATTATATGTCAGGGCAGAAATCCCCCAGGGAAAGATTGAGAACATTCTGAAGATCTCCAGCTTGACATGAATGTTTGAAATTTCTAATGTTTGTGTAATTTAGTCTCACAGGCATGTCTCAGGAAGAGGAAGAGCCAGATGACATCTGGTAATCTCATGTTGGCAGCCTAACTTCTTGTATGCAACAATGAGAAGTTACACAACATGGACTCCTTGTTAAATGTTTCCTTGTAATCAGACAAAACTCTCAATTAAAAAAAAAAACCTGTGTCATCGAGTGTGATTTTTACATGATTTTATTTTGGTGCTATATGAACCCAGAGTAACTTGATCAAGTGTAGAATTTCTCATTCATAGCTGGCTACTGGCTGCTTGTTTCTATCATCGCTACTCAGGAGGCTGAGATCTGAAGATCAAGGTTTGAAGCCAGCCCGGGCTGGAAAGTCCATGAGACACTTCTCTCCAATTAACCACTCCAAAACTGGGAGTAGAACTGTGACTCAAAGTGGTAGAATGCTATGCTAGCCTTGAGCAAAAACCAAAAAACAGCTCAGGGACAGTGAGTGTCCTGTCCCTGAGTTCAAGCTCCATGACTGAAAAATTTTTTCTCATTCATTATAGTGGTCCTGTATTCACAGGCAAAAACTCTGATGCTGGAAGCATCATGAAAACTTACTGATCAAACTCTAGGCCAACAGTTTGAAAGTCTATGCAATGTGCCTTTATCTTCAGAGTTGGCCTATGACTTGGAAAACCTGAGGCCATCTTCTAGCACTCTCACGGTTTCTCCCTGCACATAAAGACAGATTTTTCTAAGCTCTAGCAATAGTCATCTTAATACCTGTTGTGATTTAAATTGTCCCTCAAAAACATCATGCATTTGGACCTAAACTCCACTGATCATGGCATTAAATTAAGAAGTGGACCTCTAGTAAGTAATTGAGTCAAGGGCAGAACCCTCCTGAATAGAATTAAGGACCTTTGATAAAGGTTGGAGGGAATTAGCTAGGCCTTTTTGTTGTCTCACAATTTGAAGACATAGTATTCATTCCTTTGGAGGATACAACAAGGTACCATTGTGGAAGCAGGCCCGCAACTGGTCCCTGAACCAAACCACAAGAAATACACTTCTGTTCTTTATTTTTAAAAAGCCAATCAGAGGTATTTTGTGACGCAGTAGGAATAGGCTGAGATAATGTCTTTACTGTGGAATCTCTGGGTTTTGCTTTTGGTGCTGGTTCTGGGGCTTGAACTCAGGGCTCAAGTGTTGTCCCTGAGATTTTATTTTATTTTATTTTTTGCTCAAGGCTAGTACTGTTACCACTTGAGCCATAGCTCCACTCCCAGCTTTCTCATGGTTAATTGTAGGTAAATTTTGTGGACTTTGCTGCCTGGGATGGCTTTGAACCAGGATCCTCAGATCTCAGCCTCCTGAGGAGCTAAGATTATAGGCTTCAGCCACCAGCACCCAGCTGGTATTTATTTTTACTGAATTCATCTACAGCATTTTGTTTGTTGTTTTTAAAAACAGTAGGCTCTTTCCTATAACTTGGACAGGCTTTTCATCTCCTAAGAGTTTTACAAGGGGAACTGGAAAAACCTCTGCCTTTCACAGGTTCCTACATTTTATGGTAGGATTATTGTTAATAAAGAGACCACTTGTGATTTTTTCCAATCATTATTTAGTTTATTTAGGACACTAATGTGGCTTCTGAAATTGCATAAAATGCTACTTAAACAATGTTCTAAGTAATGAGACAAATAACATGCCAATTAGGCGCCTGCTTGTTCTCCTGCCATGCCTGATGAAGGGCAGTGATCCAGAGTCGGCACCTCCTTTGAAAGTGTCAGTGTGTCAATACTGAAAGGCTGGTCCTCATAAAGAAAGGTCAGATGTTAGAAAACTCCAAATGCACAATCAGCCTGACAGAGGAGGAGTTTTAAAAAAATTAAAAAGGAAATTTAAAAAATTTAGTTTGGCTGCTTCAGGAAATAAGTGTTATAAGAACATTCTGTTGTATTTCTGGATAAATCTTGCACTAGACGCTTATACTTTGGGGTTGAAAATCAGCCAACTGTATATGAGCTCCTTCTAAGGCTCCCCAAAGTTTCTGCTTTACCCAAGATTAAGCCTTGTATTAATCCTGTAGATGGCTTTTATTTATTGGAGAAAGAAGTCAGAAAAAAAATCTATTCTTCCAGATTTCTAATGGGCTAGTGGCATTTTATGCAAAATATAGCCGGCTGGGTTACAATGTTTTCTCACTGCTTTCACTGAAACTAGAGACGTTTGTGAGGAATAAAATGTGTAGCACTCTCATGGACTAGCTGTCTATACAAATATGAAATCCCAATTATGCATATTTAAAAATGACATCATACTGAGAACAGAGAAAGATAGGATTTATGTATGGTAAAAAGGCAAGCGAATGAAGCTATAATTTTATTTTCATTACTCTTAGTACATCCACAACTATTTCCACCTAAATAGATCTTTAAAATAAGCATACACAAGTATTGACTATTATCTACAAATATTTATTGTAACACTTGAATAGAACTACAGGAAGCCCTTGGCACTGATAGAAAATATTGATTCACTGTTAGGTTACAAAAATTTATACATAGCAAAATTTAATGCTCTTTACATAAAAAATATTAGACTACTTCAACAAAACTTTTGAAAATTCTTGGTAATAGCTACCAGAATTAGAAAAGTAAAATTAGGCTTTTTAGATACTGCCTCTTCTAGAACACTGGACTACAACAGCACCTCCACTGCTGGAAAAAATATTAAAGTCTGTCATGCAACAGGAAAACAAAACACTAAGCTACTTGGAACAACTGTTCTACACAGAAGAGAGCTTCTTCCAATTCAAAATAATCCAAATAGGCATTTTAGGCATTAACCAAAAAAAATTCAAATGAAATATTTAACTTGATGTTCAATTTTAATAGCATCTTGATAAAGGTATGCTTCCTTTCATTTGAATACATTTCTGCACGTGTATATGTTTTAAAATCCAGGAAACAGCCAAACCACAAGTTAACTCTTAACATGAATATACATAGTTAACCCTATAGTATGCAGCCCCTTTTGAAAAGCACTGATGCACCCCCACAATTATATGGATCATTTCAGAAAACAACACAAAGTTTACCATCACTAATACCCAGTACCTACAGTCACTTAATGTTCTGGAACACAATGATTTAGAAGGCAAGTTTCTTTTGCAAATGGCTTAAACTCAAGCAGTTTTCTTGCTGAACATGAGACATTATTATTCCAGGAAATTAAGAAAACAATGAAATAAATACCAACCCTAATGTAAGTTACTTACGTATTCAAGTCTATAAAAGTAGGAGGTTAGAAGTTTGTGGTCAATCTGCAGTTAAGTTTTAGATAGTCGGTATGAAAACTGTAAACTCATACCCAGACCACTTAAAAATGGTTTAAGAATTGGTGGTCATTTTAATAAGGTAACACTTCTTAAGAAAAATATGGAACAAAATTCTGTGAAGGTTTTCAGGGGGGGCGGGTGTCTGGCTATAATATAAATTCTTAGAAATTTAAAGCAAATATTTATTAAGGCAGAGCTGACATTTTCCCAACAAGAGTGATGAAAATGGTGTCATTTTGTTAAAATGAAATCTATTACAAAACTGATTTTTCAGTAGTAAGTTTAGCAGTTTGTTTTAGCAATATTGACAAAACTAAATTTCTAATTCGGCCCAGGAAATTAATCAGAGTGGACCTTAAAAAATTAGAAAATAAAAACACAAGTTGAAAGAATCTCATTCTCTGTTGGGCCGAAGTTTAATCAAGGTCAGTTGTCAGAAATAGAACCTCACATCAATTTCATTTTATTTCTTACATAGATCATATCTGAGGACAGGTGGCATATGTAAATTTATTGTCACATACTTGAATGTTGGCATGTCACAGGTCCCTATCAAGTATCATGTATTCCCATGGCCTAGCTCAGTAGCATTGCTCTAGCAATAAATGTGCACATGCCCCAAATGATGAAAACCATCGTTTTTTTTTTTCAAAGTGTTTCCTTTTAAAATGGCTAACATGAAACCTCCAATATTTGTTCTAAAGAAAAAGATTTACCCACTGGAAAAGTTTTTTCCTAGAGATACATCCCAGCAGCTTGAGACAGACAGGGAAATGGTGGTACATCTACGTTAGTTGGGTGGGATACACATCTGTACTGCAGAGCAGCTGTCTGATGATATGTCAGAGCTGTGAATTCGTCGGCTGAAATACTCTGGCAAACATTTATGTATAAGAATTGAGCTGTTCTTTTGACCGAGACTGGATATCTTGCAGTTCCTGTTCTTCCTTTGCTTTGATATCCTGGTAAGCCTGCATTTTGCTCGCATCCTTTAAGTAAGCCCAGTTAGAAGACAGTATCATGAGGAAGTGGATCTGGAAAAGAAGGGTGAGCATGATGGCTAGTGAGCATGTAAGAAGGCAAAGCGAGCTGCTAGTTAGATTAGACAGACTCAACTGTCAAAGGGGCCAAGGGTTATTTGCTATTAATACTCATTGGTCTAGCAGAATGGTCAGACACAGAGCATACTCTACCAATTTGCTTCATATTAAAAAGGTTGAAGAAAAGTTAGTACACAAATAGAGTGAACTTGGGAGGGGAAATGGCCAAAGTTATTGTTAAGAAAAAGCAAAAATGAACTACAAGATGGTGGATTTTTGTTTTGTTGTTTTTGGTTTTGTTTTTGTTTTTACCATTCTGAGGGTAAAGATTGATGCAGGAGCTCAGAAACACACTGTGTTTTATTGTAAATAAATGTAGTACAAAGACCTTGTCCACCTGTGGATAAAAACCAATTTCCCCAAAGGCCTGAAACTGTGAACAATATTTATTTTGTGTAAATAATTATAAAACCACATAGTTAACATAGAAAAAAATTAAACGAATGTCAAAACTGAAATGAAGAACTAAGCAAAGCATGCATAGGCTCCATTAACATATTTGTAGTTGTGAAACTACATTTTTCATTTTGTAACTGTCATTTCAGTTCACACAATGTAAAACTCCTTATTTCTTTTACAGTGGATGTGGCACACACTTCTTTCCCATTTATTTTCTTTTTTTTCCCTGCAAAATAAATCTATATCTCAATTTCTTTCCATTTCATACTTCCTTCTCCACATAGCAGACACCTTCAGATCCGGGCCCAATTTCTCTTGCCGTTTAATTCATACATGCAACTTGAGAACTCACTATGATAAAAAAACAGTTACTACTCACCAAAACACAACTTAAAGTTACCAACTTGTGGGTTCTAAAGGAAATCAGGGATGATACCCTTCTTTTTCTTCATATCTAGTTTATTTGAGGGGATATTTATTTAGTAGTGAAACGTGATCATAATTGTTTTAAATCAAACTGAAAAGTCTCATTTGTGAACTATTTCCTAGAAAGAGAGTCTGACAAAATGCAATCCACATTAAAACAGTTCTCTTCCATTTTTCTCTTCAGCACTTTGTTTTCTTTTTCATCATTAAAGCCAGTTGTCAAGCAAGCAAGAACTAACGGAAAATGCAGGTATGCCAAAGCATTAATACTTCCCTTGGAGATACTGCTCAAAGTTCAAGAAAATTATTTCTCAAAGGATGCGCACCAATGTCAGTAAATAACTGAATCCTTTTCAAAATGTGGAAATAGCCAGATCTCGTGCTCATAATTCATGTACAGTAAGTAATATTATTCTACCATGCAAAAGGAGTTAACTGAAGCTATTTACACATTACTGTAACCACACTGCAGAAAACCTAGACTGTTTTAGTCTGGAGGGGTCAGTGATATTCATGCTATAGAGGAGAGCTCGCTAAAGCTCCTTATTGGCCTTATGCAATTTAAAACTTAGTGCAGCAATCTTCCCGACTCTTAAACTTCAAAACCGCATAGTTATATGTGGTAGCCATCATGTAGATCAGCTGGTGGAAGAGAACAAAACAGGACAGTAAGATACAGGCAGTGAAGGCCCCTGTCACGACACTCTATGCTGGGGCAGGGATGGGTGCCAGCTCATACACAGTCTGGGGCCTTTCTTTTCCCCCACTTCCAGGCACAACCAATGATTTTTACATCCGGCACACACACACTTCTTTCTGATCACACGTATACGATGTGAGTCCCTGGCTCTGCCATCAGCTTATTAAAAAGGCTTGGATGTGTTTCAAGGATACGATGGGAGAGCTGGGTCAAGCAGCAGGAGAATGATGAAGCTCAGTGCCTTATTTCCCCTCTTCTTTCCCAAACTGCCTGCTCAGCAGCAATTCATTCTCTTCCCTGTCTATTGCTCCGCCAAGAAAACAAGGGTTTTTGGGAACCCCTGTCATGGGAAGGAATAATAATGAGGAAAACTGGAAATGACTCATTTCCAGGGAACTCCCCCTTGCTCTAACCAATCTTGGTGGGTTTTCTTCAAATCACAAACCAAGCTCACCCACATCTTTCTCTCTCTCTCTCTCTCTCTCTCTCTCTCTCTCTCTCTCTCTCTCTCTCTCTCTCTCTCTCTCTCTCTTTCTCTCTCTCTTTCTCTCTCTCTTTCTCTCTCTCTCTCTCTCACACACACACACACACAAACATACACAATCTGTGTTTACACAGTTGATTCTCATTATGTCCAGATTTCAAATTTGCCTGCTTGCTAAAAATGTATCTGTAACAACCAAATGGATACTTGAAGCACTTTCTCAGCCATTAGTGAGCCCATAAAGAGCAATTAGTGTGCATGCTCCCAGCTGAGATTACATAAGGCAGTGCTCTGTCTTTTTATTCAGCTCTCAGGCTATAAACAAGTAAACAAGTGTCCTTCTAGAGGTATTTGTTTAGTGCCACTTTTGCATGTTTTGTTGGTTTTACTAAGGCAGCTTACAAGAAAGCTGTGCTATACCTTGCAAAAATAACATGTGTGTTAGGAAAACCTCATTCAGGCATCAGTGACAGTGTGCTATTGGCTATGAATTCAATAATAATGGATTGATGCTATATATAAATAAGGTTTTTCTACTGAAACACATATAAAACAATGTTATGTACTGACAGATTAGTGAAAGTGATGTGACCAGGAACTTTAAGAAACCCTACCCTCTATTACTCCTAGGAAAAATTCATTCAATATATACACTTCAGAGTTCAAAGTGACTATAGAACATAACTACCATGCATAATGAGATAAACTATATATGTACATATGCATACGTAGAAGTATGCATGTTTCTATTTGGAGATTAAGACTTTCTGGTGAAGAAATGGTCAGTACCTCCTGTGAACATCTGTCCATGAATGAAGTCATGAAACTAAATGCTAAAAATGCAATTCCAGGTGTTGATACCCTCTCTTCTTTGCAGAGGCCAAATTATATCACTTCTCATAAGTGCCAAGACAGCCACTACTGCTTCTTGCAAACTAGACGTGTGGTAAGTTTACACAGGTGATGGTTACCCCCCGCTGAGCGCACAGATCTGTTGCTTCAGGAGGCTGATATAGGCTGCAAGGGAAATCTGTCATTTGGAGGCTTGGGGGAGGAGAGGAGCTAGACTAGAGTAGTGGAGGGATGGTTACTCACCAGGGCAATAACGGTGGCACCAGCTCCAGCACAGGCCACAATGAACAGGTGGTAGGACATGTAGAACTAGGAAAGAATGACACAGGGCACAAGCGTGAGCATTGGCTGTGGAACAGAATTGTCTACATGCACTCAGAAGTGCTGCTTCATCCTCATCAGCTGCTCTCTGCGAGGCTGGGCTCACACTGTAGACTGCTGGTTGCACATTGGAATCACCTGGCTACCCTTACATTTTTCCCGCTGTCCCAAGCTGCACCCTAGAACAACGAATCTCAACATTAAGTGAAACCTCCCCTGACGAAGACAGAGTGTGACTGAGGTTAAGAGATTCTGCTTTGACCCATGTTGCATGGATATACACATTGACAAGCCACATAGCGTAAGGGCCAATCATTTTTTTCACTTGGTGCTTTCCAAACACACATCAGTACCTCCTGAAATAGGCATAGTGCCTGCCAGTATACTTAAGAATTTTGTTCGCAAAGGCGCAATGCCTATGTGCCTCTTTATAGTTATATAAAATTATATATGTATATACATATGTCGAAATGATCCCCAAGATATGGAGTCAAGAGATGTCTTTTCCATTGTTGGTGGTGGTTCTGTTTGCTTTTCTTCCTGTGTGGCTCATTCGTGGGTCTATCTCTGGGAGGAAGGGAAAGGCACAGAAGTCAAGGGGGAAAGGGCAGCAGTGAAGCTCACTGGACACTGATGCATGTATCCATTTGGAAATTAAAACTTCCTGGTATAGAAATGAACTACACAACTTGTGGGTGGAGATGGGAGGGAGGGACTGGGAGAGAATGAGGGAACAGAAGACACTGTATGAAAGAGGATGTACTCATTACCTGACTCGTGCAATTGTAACCCCTCTCAACATCACCTCTACAATAACAATGAAGTAAATTTAAAAAATAGTTTTGTTTGATAAACGGTTGTATGCCCACTACTGAAGAATACCAGAAGGTCAAGAGAGTTTAAATCAAAGTGTTAGCATATATTGCCAATTAAGGATGACTGAGAAATGGAGAAAAAAAACCTGCAAGATGTTCTGGAGCACAAGCATCAAATCCATGGCCTTATGCATGCGAGCCAGGCACCATGCCCATGAGCCTTTTGATGTTGGGTCTCGCTATGTATCCCAAGCTGTCCTCCAACTTATGATCCTCTTATCTCTGCCTCCTGACTGCTAGGATTATAGGTATGTACCACCTGACTGTGACCTCTTATTAAAACTTTGGAATATGTACAAATTCAGGGGAATCTTTTCCAGTTTTCTGTGAGAAATGTTTGAGAAACTTTGTGAAAGGCAAAAAGCATTGACTCTCAGATTGATAGGTACAGGATCACTCCTAAATTTTTGCTCTAAGGAAAAACTCACCTAGTTGACTGGATTATATGACTTTTTTTTTTTCCTGTCGGTCATGGGGCCTGAGCACTGTGTTCAACTCTGCAGCTCAAGGCTAACGCTCCAGCACTTGAGCCACAGCACCACTTCCAGTTTTCTGGTAGTTAATTGGACATAAGAGTCACACTGACTTTCCTGCCATGGCTGGCTTTGAACTGTGATCCTCAGACCTTGGCTTCTTGAATAGCTAGGATTACAGGTGTGAGCCACCACACCTGGCAATATGACCATTTTTGTAGGTGGAAAATGAAAATGACCACATAGAATTCAATGAAGAGTTTACATAAAGCCTTTGGACAATCCCAGCCAAGAGAACTCTTTTTCTCCATCTAAGTCAGGAGACTAGAACCATGACAGCTTTACCTCATTTGTGTTACAGATGTTCTCCAGAGCTGAGCCACATATTTTTCCTGGGAAAGCATTCCAAGGGATGATACCTGCAAAGGAAATCCCAACAGAATGTGAGTGCAGGGTTGATTGGAGGGTGGTTCTTTTTTTGTTTGTTAGTTAAAAGTGCTGCATTCCTCATTTAATAATTGGAGTATCTGCTGTCTGCAAAGCAGTCATTTAGGAATAAAGAATAAGCCATTTAGACAATAAGGTAAATAGTAAAAACAGGAATATCTTCTTACCCCAGAGGCCAGGGTCTTTCACTATAACTCTGCACCACTTGTACAATTTTGTACCATTACTGGGGGGCTTGAAATCTCACTTGGCTTTTTTGTTTTTTTTGCTCAAGACCGTTGTTGCTTTACTACTTGAGCCATACCTCCTGTACTTCTGCTTTTTTGCTGATAATTTGAGATAAGAGTCTCACAGGTTTTTTTTTCTGAATTAGCTGGCTTCGAACAGATCCTCAGATCTCAGCCTCTCAACTTGGATTACAGAAATGAGCTGTAAGTGCTGGCTTCCTATCCTTCTTTAAAGCATAGATGATGCTTAAATATTATGCACCGCTCAGTTTACACTTCTCTTAGGAGGTAAGGACAGAATATTTAAAATAACAAGTTTTTATTCCTTTCTTCCCTGACATTGGCCAAGAGTAAAAACTTTGTCCCTCAGAAGAATGGGAAATTGTCTCTGAAACCAATGATTTTCAAGAATAACTGGTTTGGGCTGGGAAGGTGGCTCAGTGGTAGAGCGCTTGCCTTGCATGCATGAGACCCTGGGTTCGATTCCTCAGCACCACATAAGCAGAAAAAAAAAGCTGGAAGTGGCGCTGTGGCTCAAGTGGTAGAGCGCTAGCCTTGAGCTGAAGAGCTGAGGGACAGCGCCCAGGCCGAGTTCAGGCCCCACGACCAGACATCCCCCCCCCCCAAACAAAAAGAACACTGGTTTAAATTCAATAGAATTTTAAAAGATTACTGGCTATCAAAACTTTATGGAAGAAAGTTATTTTTAAAGTGCAGGGAAATTATATACACTCAAATATTTCTTTATAAACACATTTAAACACCAACAAAGGCTCTATTTTTAAGTTTTTTTCTAAAAATATAGTGTTGTTTGTCTGGAGAAGAGATCAATATGATGGAGAGTTTTTGATGCACTTCATGATAACAGTAAGCCAAATGAGAAAAACCAGCAGCAAAAATAATGATCTAAAAGCTATTGAGTCGGCTCCCAACATCTGAAGGCAGTTTTCACACAGCACGACCTTGATGACTGTGAAGTATATTTGGTACTGGAGTTTGAAGTTAAAGACTAATTCACTGGGCTCACTTCATTGGCTGGTGCTCTACCAATTTGAGCCATACCTCCAGCCTGGCTTTTGGCTGCCTATTTTGGAGATCAAGTTCGGTGGACTTTTCTGTCTGCCTGGCTTTAAATCAGCATCTTCTGTGTCCTCTGGATCTTGGCCTCCTAAGTAGCTAAGATTATAGGCATGAGCCACTGATATCTCACTACATCTGTATTTGGGGTTGAGTTTTTCAGTATAGGTAAAGTTCAAGAAGTCTTTTTACAAGGAATTGACTTAAAGAGTTGAATGTGCAAAGTAATTGAGTTGCACAATAAGTGCAGTATTTTAGATAGAAAGTGTTATAAGACTGAAAAGAAGTGGAAGAAAATACACTTAAACTTTTTTTCTTTTACAAGATCTCTAGAAGTCTTTTTGGGTTGAACTATATTAGAAAGTTCTATATTGTAAAATACTTCTTTACTCCACATTTAAAATTACAATAAAAGCCAGGCACTGGTGGCTCACACCTGTAATCCTAGCTATTCAAGAGGCTGAGATCTGAGAATCACTGTTCAAAGCAGGTCTGGGCAGAAAAGTCTGTGAGATTCTTATCTCCAATGACCCACCAGAAAACCGGAAGTGGGGCTGTGACTCAAAGTGGTAGAGCACTAACTTTGAGCAAAAAGAGTGCAGGGATAGTATTCAGGCCCTGAGTTCAAGCTTCACAAACAACAGAAAAAAAGAGCATAAGCAATTCACAGGAAGAAATAAAAGGAAGTACCATATTGTCGAACATCCACACAGATTTGCTCCACACCGGTGGTCCCATTGGTCTGTGGTGACTTGATGACTTCGCAAGTTGACCATATGTTATAGAACATAAACACGGGCACTGCTGAGAAACCAAACACGCCCAGCCAGGCCACTCCAAGCACATAGGTGAGGAAAACGAACTAGGCAGAACAAGAAGAGAAAGAATCACTGAAATCAGTAGGTACATCCCCCAGAGCAGAGACTACATTTCTAAGCCTAGTACCAACCTGTGCGATATAGGATGTATTCTGGGGGACCCCACTAATCTATGGCACCAAGAGAGAAATGCCAGTAGAGCGTGGGGGAGCAAGAGAAGGTCAAATTGTCCATGCTTTAAATGGAGGATCTTCAATGGTAGTGCCCCAAGAGATCTCAGGGTCTTTTCAGGTCCCTCTTTTAAACATCAAGAGCATAAGGCCCCAAAAGTTGACCATACACTGTAGGGGCACAGAGCTAATTTACAACAGAGCCTCTCACATGACACTCTTTCTCTCTCTCTCTCTCTCTCTCTCTCTTTTTTTTGCATTGGGATAAACCAAAAAACGTATTCTGTTAGTAAAATAACAAAAGTAAAGGGGAAAAAATACAAGAAATGTTTGGTCTCCTCCCATCTCCTTCCCCTTCCCAAATAGGCCCCTTCGATTTTCAAGTTGTTGAGGTTTTTTTCTTTTTTTCAATTCTAGATTCCACACATAAGAAAAACAATGTAATATTTATCTGAATCTGGCTTATTTTGCTTCACATGATGGACTTCAGTTCTATTTCCTTTTTTGCAAATGATAGAATTCTTCTTTTTGTTTTGTGGTTCCAGTATTGGGGTTTGAACTCAGGGCTTGGGCACTTTTTTTTTTTTAGCTAAAGACTGGAATTCTATCACTTGGGCCACAGCTCCACTTCCAGCTTTTTGACAGATAATTGGAGATAAGAGTCTCATGGATTTTTCTACCCAGTCTGTCTGTGAACCAACATCCTTTGAATCTCAGCCTCCTGGGTATCTAGGATTACAGGCCACTGACACCTGGCTATGCTAGGGTACTTTTTAACCAAGTATTTTCAACTTTCAATTGTTAAGATGTATTCTCCTGTAGAGTAAATATGTGCAGATGTTTTGTGACCATAAAGGGCCAGATGACAGGAACTTGGGCTGGTTTTGCTGTAACTATTCAAGTCTGCCACTGCCCCAAAACTAGTCACAGATAAAATCCACATGGCTGCATACCAGCAAAATTCTTCATATTCAATATGTCAACTTGTGTAATTTTCGCATGTCATGTTATGTTATTTATTTGGCTTTATCTTGTTTAAATAAATAAAAACCATTCTCACCTCTCAAAAACAAGCAGCAGGCCAAATTGGTCCACAGGTATTGCTCATTACCTTGTGTTAGACTGTGAGCACCTTGACAAAGAGCCTACTTTAGATGAGCAAAGTGCAGTGAGGTGCATAATACATTGGATGCTGGCAAAGGACTGGGACTATGGATGCTAGGAAATGGATGTCTTTTTGTTCCACTACTCATGCACACAAAGGGAAACACTGAGACAATAAGAAGCTATCTCCTCCTATACGGGGTACATTACATTTAAAGACATCTCTTACTTATTAGGTTAGGTTGATAAGAGAAACATTTGTTGTCGTACTACCAGAGATTTATCATTTATTATCAATAACATACTAAAGGGTCTCAAATCGCTAAGTCTTCATTGGTAAGATCAATGTGCACATCCTTACAGTTTTAACCAAAGAGACGCTTTCTGCACACACACACACACACACACACACACACACACACACACACACACACACACGGTTCTGTTGTACATTGAGGTTTATACTCACCATTCCACTGATGCATCGGCCACAAGCAGTCGTTTTAAATTCACCATGCAGCTCTTTTACTGCGCTTGTGGTATAAAAACCTTCTGCCAAGAGAATAATGCCATACAAGAAGAAAAAGGATGCAATCCCATAGATGACATACTGCATCAGTTGTATCCTAAAGAAAGAAGACATTTTTTTTTTTTTTTTATCGGTCATGGGGCCTGAACTCTGGGCCTGGTCACTGTCCCTGAGCTCTTCAGCTCAAGGCAATGCTTTAACACTTGAGCCACAGTGCCACTTCCGGTTTTCTGGTGGTTCACTGGAGATAAGAGTCTCATGGACTTTCCTGCCCAGGCTGGCTTTGAACCATGATCCTCAGATCTCAGCCTCCTGAGTAGCTAAGATCATAGCATGACCAGTGTCCAGCAAGCATACACGTTTTAAAGCTTCTCAGAAGACTGAAAGTCATAGGCTGAGATCACTAGGTCATTAACTCAATATACCTTGCCCAGATTCAGTCTTGGTAAAAATACTTTCCCTGTGCATAGCTGGTATACAGTGAGTCCTTTGTATTGCTTGATCTCTCCTACCAACTTTCTCAACTCTGCTCATTTCTTTGGATATCAATTGTAAACCACTAAACAATGATGCCCTAAAAATTCTCCCAACATAATTTCATTTTGGAAAAATGTCTTCCACTTTGGGGGAGACACTTCTTATGATTACAAAACACATAAACACTGTGAAACTTGGGAATTAAAGGGAAAAACTGCTGATGGAAAATGGAGGGGGAGGAAAGTATTTGACAGAAAAACAAATATTGTGGCTGAACGGGAGCGATTATGAGCCTCTGCTTGGCAGTTGTTAAGATGCCTCTGAGAATGATTCCAGAGGTAGAAGGTGGAGGTGTGGGTTAAATCCCCCAGGACTTGCCCATTTCTGCATGGGGATGGGAGTACAAGGTGTCCCCTGCGATTTGTTCTTCTGCCTGAGAATTCACATTCAAATGCTACTCCTGTATATGTAAGGGTTGGGGTTAAGTCTTCAGTTGAACTCTTATCGTTGCAGGGGTGTTTAGTTCCTGGAAGAACACTGGCAGCGACCTATTACCTGGGAACCATGCTGACTCTCTCTGATGAGATGGTCAGCAGCATAACATGTTACTGTCCTCCATGATGATCGCTATGATGTGCATCTTGTCATTTGGCTTTTGTCCTGGACTTTTTCTGTCTATCTATAGTGAGTGCTCATTGAAAGCATCAGTTTTCTGCCAGAAGACACAATAGTCTTTCAGAAAACAGATGGTCCCAAATAATATTTTGTCAAAGGGAAGCAAATACATACACTTCACTCAGCAGGGCATGGTCACTGGTGTTGGTGGAGAAATGTTGCTCGAGAATTGCCACGGTGCCGGCAAGAGCCACATGCCCACAGCCGCAGAACAAGGCGACTCCAGAGAAGCACAAGATGGTGGCCACCAGGGAGGCATAGGGGACTCCTCCCAGACACTTGATGCAGCATTCGAAGCAGCCTGGACCCAAGGGAGAGAAAACCAGCCTTGATGGGAGAGGTCTTCATGAACCCTACAATTAGCACAGACGTTTCTACTTCTCCATCTCCTCTCTCAAGCTCTATAGCTAATACATCAACATCCCAACAAATGGGCAGAGGGGTCATCCTCACAGTCTCAGATTCTGCCACTGGGGACTGAGGCTCCAAGAGGGACCGTAACAATATGCTCAGGGTCTGGAAGGGTTCTTACAGCTTCCTGACCTTCTACTAACATAGCCAAAAGAGAATGACAACGAAGCAGCAGTTCCATGAAGAAATGAATAGTCTTCTCTAGACTCAAACTTGGGAGGTTTTCAAGTATAACCACTGCCTGAGCAGCCAATGGCTTCCCCCAAGCCCTTGACCTCCAGGGAAACTGGAAGAATCTCATAGTAACGACACTTTGGCCAGGTTTGGAAAAATATCAAGAGATGCAGGGGGAGGGGAAAGGGGATCCTCTTGGAAAGATCATAGGTATTTGGGGACCCCAGTCTAGTGAAATTCCATGTCACTAAGATCTACTCAAATGGATCCTCTCAAGTTTCATTCAAGTTGATATCAGAAATTGCCTCAAACTTTTAATAACAACTCCCCCAGGCAGCACCAGTAATTTATTCAGTCTTCCTCCTCCTCAACTGACTTCCATCTTCCCCCTTCCCCCACACAGACATTCAGAGTCAGAACCCAGGCCTGGTAGGTGATATTTAAGCACTTGAAGGGGAAAAAGGAACAGAAGAAGAAAAAAAAAAGAAAAAGAAAAGAAAAGACAAAATGAGCATCCATGAAGTGAAATGAAGGAGATAGAACCATATTCACACTTAATCTTGAGAAAATGATTCTCAAACTCTTCATTTTTAAAATAAGCTTGGACATGAAATGTCCAAAAAGGCCTCTCTGACAGCCTCAGCCAGGTGACACTTTCAGTCTGGAGACATTTCTGTCTCCCATCCAGTCTTACTGTGCTGGGCATCAGAATAACATCAGAATGTCTCCTGGCTTTCCAGCCATGTTTATATTAGCCAGACCCTCCAGTAAATGACTTGTTGAGCAAACTGAACTTTTACTGCATTAAGATGTTTAACAGCGATCAAGAGCAATTCATTACTTTGGTGCAGGCACAAGAAGCAGTTAAATTTATTTCCCTGAAATGGTCATCCTAGTATTTAGGGAGTGAAAACCCAGCATGACACACCAGAGATGAACTTTTCTGCATTGAGGAGTGTCCATGCAATACTAGCATTTGTTTAAACCTACCGCGGAGAATGACTTACTAGAATGCTCTTTTGTTAGTTGAAAAATACAAAAAGCCAATTTCCAGAAGAAGCCTGTGCTTCTGTCTACTTCAAAAGATAACCAGCTATTTTCAGGAAGACCAAACTTCCTGAAATGGACTTATGAAGCTTTATAAAATAGAAACCAGCACACGATGTGTGAGCAAGTCAAAGGCTGTAGAATGCTGGGCACTGGTGGTTCATGCCTGTCATCCTAGCTACTCAAGGAGCTAAGATCTGAGGATCATGGTTCAAGGCCAGCCCAGGAAGAAAAGCCCACCAAGACTCTTTGATTAACCAACAAAAAGCCCAAAGTAGAGCTGCGGCTCAAGTAACAGAGTGCGAGCTTAGTGAAAAAGCCAAGTGAGAGCATGAGGCCCTGAGTTTGAGCCCCAACACTGACACAAGAAAAAAAAAGCTATGGATACTTGAGATTTATGAACATGGATGTTGGGAGTTCAAATTTACTTTGTCCTATGACTTTCCGAGTGACAGGAGTGCAGCTAAGTTCCAAGTTAAGAGAAACCTAAGCTGGGTGTTAGTGGCTCACACCTGTAATACCAGCTACTCAGAAGGCTGAGATCTGAGGATCATGGTTCAAAGCCAGCCCAGGCAGGAAAGCCTGTGAGACTCTTATTCCAATTAACCACCAGAAAACCAGAAGTGGTGCTCAAGTGGTAGAGCGCTGGCCTTGAGCTGTAGAGACAGTGCTTGGGCCCAGAGTTCAAGCCCCACGACCAACAACAAAAAAGAAGAAACCTAACAACCTCAGCCTTGGTGGTGTCATACTATATGAAGAGAAAACAGATCTGTGTGTTACACCATCTACAACTGGCCCCTATTCTCATTCTATGATATTAAGAGCAAGATGCCCACTGTCCTGGATAATGCAGGTGTATCTTAATGCAGGTGGTCCTTATTGGACAAAGCTGTGTGGCCCTGGGACTGCATTGTCCAATTAAGTAGCCACTAGCACAGGTGGCTATTAAAATTTTGTTTTAAAAGGAACAGTTCAGAGGCTCAGCAACACTAGTGGAATGTACCGTGATGGAAAGCACAGATACAAAACATTTTGTCATCATGCAATGGAGGACATATTTTCACTGGTCATGGTTTCTGTTATAGGAACTGAAACACGTTCATTTTCTATCACGTGAACTGAGTGCTAGCTAGGTTTTACCCATTATCCTTCCTGGGTGGGGGTCAACCATTGTGCTTAGCATCTGGGATACATATCTTGTTGTTGTTGTTGGTCGTGGGGCTTGAACTCTGTGCCTGGGTGTTGTCCCTCAGCTCTTTAGCTCAAGGCTACTTCTCTATCACTTGAGCCACAGTGACACTTCCGGTTTCCTGAGTGGTTTATTGGAGATAAGAGTCTCACAGACTTTCATGCCTGGGCTGGCTTTCATCCGCGATTCTCAGATCTCAGCCTCTTCAGTAGCTAGGATTACAGGTATGAGCCACCAGCACCCAGCTTGGGAAAGGTATCTGAAATAAGACATCTTCATTTATTTTCCAGTCATGGGGCTTGAACTCTGGGCCTTGGCACTGTCCCTGAGTTTCTTTGTGCCCAAGGCTCGAGACCACTTGAGCCACAGCACCACTTCCAGCTTTTTCTGAGTAGGTTATTAGAGATAAGAGTCACACAGACTTTCCTCTTCTAGTTGACTTAGAACCATGATCCTCAGATCTCAGCCTCCTGATAGCTAGGATTACTAGCGTGAGCCACTGGCACCAGGCTCCACATCTTCACTTTTAAAATCAGTCTAATGCTACAGGCAGACAAGTAGCATGCTCATTATGCTGTAGCATAATGATAGCCAAGATTGAGACTGTTGGGCCAGCAAAGGAGGGTGGAGAAGAGGGCCAGAGGGAAGGACAGAGGGAATATTATTCATACCATAGAAGAGACAGGAAAGGTTCTGTACAGAAAGACATAGCATGTGGAATAAACAAGTGACATGGTGGCAGTGATTTATAACCAGAAAAAGGTTCACTGATTTATGTATATTTTTCATTATATACATTTAATAAACTCAAGTCCTTTTTCATCATTTGGTATTAAGATTAGGTATTACGGTACAATGCATTCATCCTTTAACAATAGAACTCATCCTTCTAAATTCACAGTTGCCACCTCCAAAAGATCTTCCATCCAAGGTTTAGAGTATTCTGCTTCTGTCAAACAAACTATGACAACTGCTCCCAGGCTCCAAAAGACAAGTGTGGTTAGAAGACGATACTGTCCAATCCCAATGGGCACACTAGATCAAGGCTGAAATTGCCCTACAATTTATGTACACCACGCTGTGGATCTCATTTTAGAATAGCAGAGAAACCAAGGTTCTAAGAAACTGGGGGAATCACTCCAATGAATCACACTCTCAGCAGAAGCCAATGCTCTTAAGTTTTCAGCAGATGGTTTAATTGGTGGCTGATAGAACTCTGGTTCCTGCAGAACTGAAATGACTAATTATATCAGTCGTCTTTGTTCCATGCACACAGATGAAATTCTTACAGACCCTGCCAGCCAAAATGACTAGAAGCTTCTGGTGTACAACCTGAGAAAAACTGTTAGGAAATAATACTGCTGAATATAAAAGCTTACTTAGTTTGGTTGGGCAGTTATATAAAGGCCCACATTATATGCGTGATAGATATCCAACTGTTTATAAATGGGTTGCTCCCCCACTGTAGCCTCTGTGTCAATCTAGAAGTCACTTCTATCTTCAGTGTGCAAGATAATCGCTGAACATCAGGCACTTTGGTCACATGACTTGGCTCAGTATCAGAACATTGGGCTGCCCTCCTGCAGGGGGCGCTACGTGAACACATAAGTCATATACCCTTGAAGCTGGTCTGAATGCTCCTCACCATCATTGACTGTACCATATACACACTGGAAGTAGCTAGGATGACAGGCATGAGCCGCCAGCACCAGAGCAGCTTTTTCTTTTTGAAGAAGTTTGAGATGAGTATCAATTGCTATTGAAAAGCTGTTTTAGCCCTAAAATGGCAGCAGTGCATAGATGGGTCAGACTGCATGGGTTGGGAAGCTTGATACACCTACTATAAATCTTTACAGAAAACATTTGAAGATCCATGTCTAAAAGTGGTTGTCGGTATTCAGAGTCTAGTCTCTGAACCACCGGCAGTAACAGGGAGCACGTGAAAAAAGCAAATTCTAGCCAGACACTGGTGGCTCACACCTGTAATCTTAGCTACTCTGGAAGCGGAGATCTGAGGATCATGATTCAAAGTCAGTCCAGGCAGGAAAGTCTGTGAGACTCTTATCTCCAATGAACCACCAAAAATACACCCATAAGTAGCTTTATGGCTAAAGTGGTAGCGCACTAGCCTTGAACACAAAAGCTTAAGGACAGTACCTAGGCCCTGAATTCAAGACCTACGACCTGCACAAAGAATAATAAAAGCAAATCCATAGACCCCCTTCTCTTCTCAAGAACAAGTGGATCAGGACCTCTGGGACTGGACTCGCAAGTCTATGTTACCACATATCTTGGTGATTTCCAGGAATAATCTTAGGTCTAACCTAGATCAACCAACTCTGTGCGGGCAATATAACAATCCCTGCTTTCTGTAAGAACAGGACAACTTTTGAGAAGCTCATTTCTAGTCAGTAGTGTCATCTTTCCAGTCTGTGGCATCTTTCCTGATTGTGGCACCCTGAGTCTATGTGTATGCAGTG